AACAACAACAACAACAACAACAACATGTCTTCTCATAAGACTTTCTGGGTCAAGAGGTTCAAGCAGAACTGTCCCATTTCTCAGTGTATTCAAATTAAAACTGGCAATAAAATCAGGTACAACATCAAGAGTAGACACTGGAGAAGAGCCAAGCAGGGTCTCTAAAGAGCTGCACACACGATGGCAGCACATATAATGAACATGTGGACACACACTATTCATAACTTGCACCATGTCAAGTTAACTGGCATGCTACTCTATCAAGTTTAAAATTATGTCACAATCTGATCATTCCCCATGGAACAATTGCATTTTCACACACCCATGTTTTCAATAAATATGTGTGACCTATGGTGAAAGAAAAAAGAATAACAGTAAGAGGATAAAGAGCTCCAGCTGTGTGCTTTTTTTTTTTACATATACTGATTTATTTACAAAGCTCAAATACATTGTTTTTCACACCTGATCTTTCCCATTTCCTTCATCCACCCTCCCACCCATCAAATTGTGTGACCCTATGACTAACCATCCCACCCTCCACCCATCCTCATTCCTCAGCTTCCATTTCCCCCCCCCTTAGATTCCCATATTCATTCTACAGTAATTTTTTTTACAATATTTGTCCTTATGGGACTGAGTTAGTTCACTCAGCATAATGCTCTCCAGTCCCTCCCAAGTTAGGCAGTAATTTACAAAATCATTGCTCCTGTGTGCTGCATAGTATTCCCTTGTGTGAATGTACCATAGTTTCTAAATCCACTTCATTGTGGTGGGACATCTGGGTTGTTTCCATGTTCTTGCAACGATGAATAATCACTGCTATGAACATTGGTGTACAAGAATCCATTTGAGCCTCAGTTCTCATTTTCTCAGGGTATATTCCAAGCAATGGAATAGGTGGGTCATATGGAATTTCTACATTCAGCTTTTTGAGAAACGTCAAACTGCCTTACAGAGTGGTTGTACCATTTTACAATCCCACCAACAATGAATAAGCATTCCTATCTTGCCACATCTTCTCCAACATTTACTTGTTGTCTTCTTAAACTTTGCCACTGCTACTGGAGTGAGATGGTACCTCATTATGGTTTTTATTTGCATCTCTCCTCTTACCAGTACTTTAGAGCATTACTTCATGTGTTTGTTAACCATTCAAATATCTTTTGCTCATTTTTTAATTGGGTTATCAGTCTTTTTCTCGTGGAAGTCCAGGAATACTCTTTAAACGTTCATTATTAGACTCTTGTTTGAGATGGTATTGCCAAATGTTTGTTCCCAGTCAGTAGGTTTTCTTTTCACCCTGTTGGAAAAGTTTTTGATGGACACAGGGATTTAAGCTTTAGAAGGTCCCATTCATCAATTGTATCCTCTTCGAGCTCCAGCTTTTTTGTGTGTGTGTGTGTGTGTACCGTCAAATCAGATCTGACTGGAACAGGAGGAGATTGTCCCTCCTTCCCCGGTAGAGCATCTGGTGGATTCGAACCATGCGCCTCTGGGATTGTAGTTGCAGCTCCTTGCCACTAGGCTACCAGAGCTCCCCTGAGCTCCAGCTTTTAAGGAAGTCCCTTCCAATTGTTCTTCTAGATTAAAAGGACTAATCTTCCTTTTAAAATATTCTTTTCTTCATAATAATAAACATTTAATTTTTAAAATGTTTTAAATTTTACTGTGATTTTAACAAAAGCTTACAGAAATGTTGAGTGTTTCAATTGTTTCACATTTTCCTCCTTCCCCCTCCCATCCCTCTTCCCAGTCAACTTTGCAATGCACCTCTTGTTCCTAATTATACATTCCTTTCAGTCAGTCCTTCCCCTCATCTCTTCCAGTGCAGTGATAATTATCTATCTACTCTTATCTTGTTCCTATCCCCACCCCTGTGTCAATCCTATTTTATAACAATAGTGCCATGCAGTATTTGTCCTTTTGTAACTGAGATATTTCACTCAGCATAATGCCTTCCAGGCTCACTCATGTTGTATAGTGTATTACAAGTGCACTGTGTGTATGTATGTGTGTGTATATATATATATATATATATATATATATATATATAAGCAGGAGTAACATCTACTTCCTAAACAACATGCCTCTAGAAACTCTATGAACTTTGATAAATGTTGATAGCTGTAATAGCTGTAGAGGGACTTCAGGCCTTTTGTTCATAGGGTCACTATGAGTTGTGCTCAACTTGAAGGCAATCAACAAATAGATAGATAGATAGATAGATAGATAGATAGATAGATAGATAGATAGATAGATAGATAGTTGTTGATTGGTTTGAAAACAAAGTTTGTATGCATTAAGTTCATTGTTTTTTCAATACTGCATATTCCATTGTGTGAATGTACCATAGTTTTTCCTACTCATTTATTATTGATAGAGAGTTGGACTGCTTCCATTTCTTTACTATTGTGAGTAACACAGCAATAAACATGGATGTGCATATATCTGTTTGAGTCATGGCTCTGGTTTCCCAAGGATGTATTCCCAGCAGTGGGATAGTTGAGTCAAATGATATTTCTGTCTCCAACATTTGGTGAATGTGCCAGACCACCTTCCATAGTGGTTGTACAATTTTATATGCCCACCAGCAGTGAATGAGTGTTCCAGTCTCTCCACATCCTTGCCAGCATTTGTTGTTAGCTTTGCTATTGTCACTGGGGTGAGATATTTCATTATTGTTTGATTTACATCTCTCTAATAGCTAGAGATTTTGAACATTTCTTGATGTGTTTATTGGCTATCTGAGTTTCTCCTTTGGTGACTGTTCATATCTTGTGTCCATTTTGTGACTGAGTTATTTGCCTTTTTCTTGTTAAGGTTTTGGGGTATTCTATAAATTTTAGAAATGAGTCCTTTATCAGATATATCATTGCAAAATCTTTGTCCCAGTTTGTGAGTTTCCCATCAGAAGATGAAATACTTAGGAACAAATCTAACTAGAGACACAAAAGACATATACAAAGAAAATTACAAAACATTACTTCAAGAAACAAAAAGCAACCTTGAGAAATGGAGGGATGCCATGCCCATGGATAGGAAGATCAGTATTGTGAAAATGACAATTCTACCAAAAGCATTCCACAACTCAGTGCAATCTAAATACAGATACCAATTCCGTTTTTCAATGAGATGGAAAAGGCAATTTCCAATTTGTCCTGGAGTGGGAAGAGACAGGATGAATAAGCAGAGCACTCCTGAAAAAGAGAAGCAAGGTAGGAGGCATCATATTCCCTGATCTCAAACCCTACTATACAACTGTGGTTCTCAAGACAGCATGATACTGGTAAATCAACAGGCACATAGATCAATGGAATAGAATTGAGAACCCAGAAATCAACTCATCTACCTAATCGCATGTTGACAAAGAAATGAAATCAGTTAAATCAGAAAATAACAATTGCTTTAACAAATGGTGCTCGCAAAATTGGAAAACCATCTGCAGAAAACTGAAGCAAGACCCATATCTCACACCATACACAAAAACCAACTCAAGGTGGATCAGGGGCCTAGGAATATTTAATTTCTTGTTATTAAATAGGGAGCTCTGGTGGCCTAGTGGCTAGAAGCTGCTCTGCAATCCCAAAGGCAAACTATTCAAGGCTACCAGCTGCTCTGCAGGAGAAAGATGGGCAATCTCCTCCTGTGCTATTAACTAACTGCCTCTCAAAACCCACCAGAGGGTCAGCTATGGGTAGGTTCCTCACCAAGTTACCATGCAAATTATCCAACACCAACTGGCAATCCTTTTGTTTCCCTACCAGATTCTCTATTATTTTCCAAGATGATCTCTCTCTCTCTCTCTCTCTCTCTCTCTCTCTCTCTCTCTCTTATGTCCAAATGTACTGCTGGAAACTCTGCTTCCTGTTGTTTTTGTTATGTGCCTGTGACTCATAGTGAACCTATGTACAAAAGCTCTGAACTTTGTCTTATTATGAGCCAATCTCACTATCCCCAACATACCTGCCCCCATTACCCTTGTAACTGTCATTCTGGATCTTCCTCTCTTGCGGTGTCCCTCCACCCTTCCATGAATGATGTCCTTCTCCAAGAGCTGGTCCCTCTTGGCAATATGCCCAAAGTATATGAAGATGGAGCCTCAAAATCCTTGCCTCCAGAGAGCAATTTGGTTTCATCTTCTACAGGACAGACCAGTTTGTTCTCTTGGTGGTCCATGGTAGGTATGTTCAGTACTCTTCTCCAGACTACAACTCAAAGGCATCAATTATTTTGTCATGTTGGTTTTTTTATAAACTAAACAATATTTTATTTTTATTACTCCAAGTAGGGCACGAAACTAGAAAAACTTTTCCAAGAACAGGCTCATCTCCACTTGATGCTCAAAATCTCACTCCAGTGGTGGCACCTCAGTAACATGGTCTTCCAGAGACTGGAGTCTGAAGCTTACTATAACAAAGGACAAAGATGAAGGCAGGGATTAAGCTGTCATTAAACCATCTGTTGTCCTGGGGAACACATGGCTCCTGACCAATCCTTTCCCACACTGGGACACTGGGTCAGTTTCAACGTTACATTCTCGTTGACAGTAGGTCCAACTTCCAAAGTCAGGAGATCAAAGCTCGAGAATGTATGCACAGGTTCCTTCAGGTCCAACTGTGGCTCTCTCCAACATCAGCTCCATGCCATCCAGCTTCCCTAATCACATGGTGCAGAACCACGGATGCGACCAGATTCCCAAATGGAAAGGCCTGGACGCAGGAGGAGTGAAAGCTATTTTGCCATGTTTTGTCATTGTCTAGCTTTCTGATGTACAGCAAGTAATTGTGAAGACCATTGCCTGAATTAGGCATACCTTAGACTCCAAACTGATATCGTTCCTCTTCAGAACTTTTGAGAGGTCCCTGGACAGCCGACTTTCCTAATCCAATTCAGCTTTTGATTTCCTGCCTTCTGGTTCCAAGACTGTTGATTGTGGACCCAAGCAAGCTGAAATTGTTAACAATCTCAATCTCTTCCCCATCTATCATGTTGCTATCAGTTTGCCCAGTGGTGAGGATCTTTGTTTTCTTGATGTTGAGCTTCAATCCATATTGAAGACTACAGTCCTTGATCTTCTGCACAGATGTGTCAGGTCCTCTTCAGTTGCAGCGAACAAGGTTGTGTCATCTGCACCCAAGTTGTTGATGAATCTTCCTCCAATCCTG